GCGTAGCGAGGGGGGAGGGTGGGGGTGCGGACCGAGCCGGAGGACACCATTTAGGGGGCTGACACCAAAGCAAAAAAATAGCAAAATATATGTGTAAATCAAGTTTGAGGGGGGGGGGATGCAAATCGTAAATTGAAATTTGTCCCCGGGAAGGGTCGATACGCCTCTGGGGGGTGACACCATTAAGTGCCGCACCGGGTGACAGCCGACCTCGCTACGCCACTGGTTATAGGTCAAGTAAATTTAGTAGTGAGTTGATGAATTATTTAGTTTACTAGTAAGTTACCCTTGTATTTAGTTGGGTTTATCATTAAACTAATGTAAAAATTATTGAGGATTTGTAGATTGTTTAATGTAATATTTTATTAGGTTCTGTATTTAGCTAATGTAGTTTGTAATTACGTTTAAATTAAATATAATATCTTGTTAGTTTTAGTGTTTAATCAATGTTGTATTTAGTCATTTAGTTAATGACATAAGTTAATGTATAATTTCGATTGGTTTAGAAAATATTAAGGCAAATTACTGTTGGTTAATAGTAAGAGATACTTAGTTTAAAGTTTAATTAGATTAGGTGTGGGAAGAATGTAGCGGGGTAATAAAATCAAGTGATGATAAACTAATTTTAGCAACAACAAAATAAGGAGTTGTTCTTCCAAGATCATAACGATACAGTGATCTTTAAAAACTGAAGTCAAATTATTGTTTTAATATCTCCAGTAGAAATAATGTTTTGTTTTTAAATTTGAGTAAAACAAATTGTTCCGATCAAACTTGTCATTGATGTTATATTTGTTATGAGAGCTTAGAATCCGCATTATGTGTTCCTTTGCATATAATTATTTTTCTAATGTTCTTTCTAAATGGAAAAAAAAGAAAATTCAAAGATTTTATTATTTAATCATAATTATAAAAAAAAAAATCAAATGCATACGTTTAACTTCTGAAAAGTTATTTAAGAACTAATATAAAATATCACTCAATTTGTGTTTTATCAAGGGACATAATTCAAGTAAATTAATTTTAAATGTTTTGACTGCATTTGTTATCTTTTAATTTTTATTAAATTGAATTTGTTTTTCTTTAGAACGTCCTAACTAACCAATCGAACGAACAGCCTAGACAAGTAAGAGTTTGTTCAGCTTTTGTTCTGTTTGTAAGTGTTTGTTTAGTTGTGTTATGTTTGTAAATGTTTGTTTAGTTTTCGTTCTGTTAGTAAATGTTTGTTTAGTTTTTAATCTGTTAGTAAGTGTTTGTTTAGTTTTTGTTCTGTTTGTAAATATGGCTAGAGTTTTCAAATATTATTTCATATGATAATTTAACGTTGATAAATCTACTGTTAACAGATTGGTTTACAAATTTAAAGGTAATAATTCCGAAGATAAACTTATTCAAAGCTAATTATAATTTTACTAATATAATCGACCCAAGAGTAAATAATCACTCTTTACAGCTTATACTAGTTTCTAATTAATGTTTTAAGTGTGACATCGTCACAATTATTCTGTGCATGTAAATATGTTCGTGTGTCTGAGGATACTGCGATATACACAATAAAAATATTTCCTCCTCTTGGGTTCCCATATTTTACCTACGAACTAAACAATAGTACACAAGTACTGTAGTTTTAATCATATACAGATTCCTACATCATACATAAACATCTGTAATAGTAATGAGGATAGTATTTTTAAAATATTTTATAGACATTGGACAACACAGACCGCGCTTACGTAAGTTTATCTATTGAGAAATTTTTGTGATTTTAACTCCATTTGTCGTTTTCTATAGAACAAAGCTCTTATTATTTTAATTTAAGTTTTGTTTTAAAGAAAATTATAAACTTAATACTGGTGTGTTTGATTAGCGATTAAGACAATTATTGTTGTTGTCTGTTTCGTTTGTTAATCCGTGGTTTTTCTTTAAGATATATGTTCCAACTGTTGTTTTAAGCTAGACGATGTAACCTTTGTTTTAAGCTAGATTTATAATAACTATTGTTTTAAGCTATACGCTGTAACTGTTATTTTAAGCTAGATGTTGCTGCTGTTGTTTTAAGCTAGATGTAACTGTCGTTTTAAGCTCTGTTGTTTATGTTTCCACAGAGAACAGGTTGAGCTCGTAAGACAGCACAACTAGAACCACGAACTTAGAAAAACTCAAGTAAGCACGAGGAAAATAATATATATATATATATATATATATATATATATATATATATATATATATATATATATATATATATATATACATATACATATATATATCATCTCCTATTAAGACTCAATGATAAACCATTTTTTTTAAAAATGTGTTAGCGTAATGGTTTAAGTAATCTTTTAATATGAAAATAAAATACACAATATACAATAATAAGCCATTTAAAAAGAAAGACGTTATATTCAAATGAGTATTTGTTTTAAAAATGCAAATAATAAACACACAATGTACCATTTATAAATACGTGTGTTATCATATCAGATTAAGTCATTTATAGTTAATATAAAAAAGAAATAATACACTATAATTATTTTCACTTATTGTTTCTATAGTTTAAAATACACCAAGGAGAATAGAGAGCTACGGAACTATTTGAAAGAAACTCAAATTCTTGTGATTTGTCTAAAAGAATTCAATTAAGATGTTTCTTAATAAATAAAATCTTAATTTTAAAAGGTTTTATTTTGTTCTTCCATCTTTCTTACCGTAGATTTATTTAGTATATAAAACATTTTACAATCAAATGTTGTATTCTGTACGTACGAGAACCGATGGTGGCAGTGCCGTAATATTGACGTGAGTACCTTCAAACAAAAAGCGGAAAAACTTTGGATTGATTGTGTGATAGAGCTGGTTTAGAGACAAATATATACATGAAAATGTGATGTTGTTTACCCATCTCATACCGTATATAACATTGTTAAAATGTGAATATATTTACTCACCTGTTCACGGGGATTTAAGACGGAGTAGCCTAGCAGTAGATAGCCAGTCTACTAACCCGTAAATCTCGAGTTCGAATCCGAGTTCAAGTCAGTAGAGCGTCTACCCAGCTCTGATGTGTAACTAACTCACGTTAGGGAAAATAAAGGCAGATGGGCATAAGCTGACCACACTATCCCTTCATATGCCGCGTTCACAGAAACAGGTGAAATCTACTTCACTTGCCCCATAGACCCAGGTTTGGAAGAGAAACTTTTCACAGCTTTCTTAATACTCAACGATGTAATTGTACCCACTCACTGTTGAGGAACTAACCAGACGCTTTGTTTTTACAACTTGGGTAGCGATACCCTTATTAGATTTTATCCTCTCGTAATTTAAAGTTAAGGATCATAAAAGCATTTGGTGAATTAGGGATTCAGATGACATTCGGTGGATAAGGGATCTCAAAGAAATTTGGTGGAGTAGGTATCTAAGGCATTTGGTGGATTAAGGATTCAAAAGAAATTCGATGGATAAGGGATCCCAAGGTAATTTGATGGATTAGAGATTCAAAGGCAATTTATTATTTTGATGGATTGTGGATAACAAAGCCTTTTGATGGATTAGGAATCGGAAAGGCATTTGGTGAATTAGGCACACTTATCATATACGGTTCATTCAGAAGGGGTCTCCAAACTTTTCAGTCCGAGGGCCGCATTAACTATCAAATTTTAGTTCGGGGGCCAGTTTCTTCCAGGCATGTCTTTGATTTTTCTGGGCAAAGTTCCTCAGCCAGCACCAACAAACGTTTTTTCCGTGGACAAAAAAAATCTCTGCGGGCCGGATGAGAGGACCTCGCGGGCCGCATACGGCCAGCGGGCCGTAGTTTGGAGACCCCTGATTCAGATCATAAAATACTATATCGTTCTTACTGTTTAACTCAACTTGACAATTCTGTGGCTAATAAATTAAAGCAGACTATGCAACAGCAGTTCCATTACGACAAAGCTTCATCTTAAGACTACCCAACACGCTAGAGATTCTAATTTATGAAGATCAACTCGTTCAATAATTCAAGGCGTTTGGTGTGGTGTGTAATTGAAAATGTTAAACCGAATCTTGAAATGGACGTGATCGCTATATGAAATCGATCAGTTTAGAACTCCTGGGTAATAGAAATATTTTGATTTAACCACAAGGTTTGGTGTCAATGGTAATTGGTGTTCTCGCAGTTGGCGCATGATGTTGATCGTTTTCTGGATTAGCCAGTACTTAATTAGGGGTGAGGAGGTCATGGTCATGCTGACCTGGAGTCGAGGTGTATGGCCCGTGAGCGGGATGGCCATAATATAAGTCACGGGGTCAGACGCACACACACACACATACACACACACATACACACACGCACACATACATAAATACATACACACACATATACACACACACTCACTCACTCACTCACAAACTCAGTGTGTACCCACCCACCCCATTTGGACAACTGTGTCTTTCAGGAAGTCTTCACCCGTCACTAAACACCGGTGTATGGTACGCCGCGGGTCGGCTCGTTTTATAATGTTTGTTAATGTTAAATATGTATTTTGAAACAGTTGCCTATAAGTGGCTATGAATAGGAAGACGAACTTGCCCTAACTGTTTATATATGACTTTGTTTGCCTCATAAGACAGATATTTTCTTTTGGTGCAGGCTCGGGTTGATCATTAGAGTTTCTTCAAGGCATCTGTTAGGGGGGGGGGGGGGTAGAGTGGTCAACATGCAGGCATTATACACCAACATCTTGGTGTTCCTGGTGAGGTTTGTATTCCCCCACACTCGCTTGGAGAGTTTGTCCATCAGGAAATTGATTATAACATTTAAAGTGAGGTAGAGAGAATATCATCAAACTTACAGTTAGAGGGTCAATGTATATAGTATATAATTAAAACCGCGATTAAATAGTATTAGAATGTATATCACCAAACCCGCAGTCAAGGGGTTAAAGTAGAGAACACATAATCTAATACGTGGTTATATATTTAAAATATTAGAATGTAATTTACCAAACCCGCAGTCAATGAGTTAAAGTAGAGATTTAATAAGATCAATTGATTTTTCTTATCTAAAGTTAATCACAGATCACTCAGATTTCGAGTAGAGCAGGGATATAGACAACACTAAACTAAAGCCTTGATCAGGTAAAGTTATAGAAACTTCAAATTTGTATAGGGATATAGAGAGCACGAAAGACTTAGTGGGGTAAAGTTATAGAAACTTCAGTTTTTGTATAGGGATATAGACAACACTAAAGACTTGATGGGGTAAGTTATAGCAACTTCAGTTTTGTGTAAGCTTGCGGCCTGTTTGTAGTTTGTATGTAGATTGTTTAGTAAAGTGTCTGCAGCAGCTTTTATACACATAGACGTTTGTTTAGGGAATGCACAGTAGCCTTAAGATATATGATGGGTTTGTAAAGTTTTTTGTAGTATGAATCTAGGACTGACGCTGGTTAATAATGGAAAGTTTTGAGAATTTTCTAAAATGTGTAATTAAAATTAATATAAATACATTACTCAATACAAATAATATAAGGATGTGATGTTTCCCGCTATTAAACAAGAGACATGAAGCATATGAAGCAGGATTCATCTGTTTCACTAAACTACAGGCGTAGCTATGGGAGGGCGGGTGGGGCGGCTGCCCGTGGCGCCTACCTAAATGGGGCGCCGAACTGGGTAGGAAGAAAATAAAAACTCGTTCCGAACAGCGTTGCTGTATTATGAATAGTCAACGTTAAGAAAATTGATTGCAACTGGGCTTTACACAATTTTTCCCTGAATTGTTGTCAGGCGCCAACAAAGATCATGAGAAAATAACTTACCTAGAGTATTATTTAAAATACAAATACACATTTCCTGAAACTCTTATTTATAATTTAAGAGTGATTTCCATTTGAAACGCTTTGTCGTGTGAAAAAATTTAATTCATGAACATAAAAGGTATCTTTCAAATTATTTAATTTAATTTAATATGTCATTGTTATCTATTTTAAACGCTTTATCGTGGAGAAAGAATGATTTCATGAATATAAAATCTATCTTTCGAATTATTTAATTTTCCATATTGATTTTTCACCCACAGAACCTCTAAAAAATGAAGCGTTCAGTGACTTTTCTGCTCTGTGTCAGCTTGGCTGTCGTTCTCTTTGTTGATCTGGCACACTCAGTAAGCTGCATCGTATTGTAAAGATTTTAAATTCATGTTGTAATGTCTGTTGAGAGATTATTTTAAAAACTAAGAGCTGTGTTAGTAACCTTGGGTTAATATAGTTTTTCCTTAACACACACACACACACATACACACATACACAGATATATATATATATATATATATATATACATATATATATATATATATATATATATATATATATATATATATATATATATATATATATATATATATGTGTGTGTGTGTGTGTGTGTGTACATTTTTGTATATATATATATATATATATATTAAGTATAAATATATATGTGTATATAGCCTATATATATATATATATATATATATATATATATATATATATATATATATATATATATATATATATATATTTATATATATATATATTTATATAAATATATATATATATATATATAAATATAAATATATATATATATATATATATATATATATATATATATATATATATATATATATATATATGTATATATATATATATATATATATATATATATATATATATATATATATATATATATATATATATATATATGTAATTAGTATTTGAATCGCACCCTGTCCATTATTTGTATGAATTTCTATTTCACATTAGACCCAGCTTGAGACAAGAGCAGACGACGAAAAAAAGCCTGGCAAGGTAGAGATGGTTTTAATCAAGGACTTACTAAAGAAAAAGTTCACAGTCTCTGCTGTTACAGAAGTGAAAGTAAACTCGCAAAAATAAAACAAAAAGAAATACACTGTAAATTAGCCTGAATTTTTTTCTTTTTAATACAAGGGAGAAAACTCAGCAAATAGACTTAAATGGATAACAAAAAGAAAAGAAACAAAACCCTGAAAAAAAGGTAACAAAAAACTGAACAACAGAAAATAGAAAACTAAAATTAAATTAAAAGAATGACTAATAAAAAACATAATTAGAAAAAACAAACAAAGTAATAACAATCTCTGAAGAAAAAAAAAACATCGTGAATGTTAAAGAATAAACCGGGAGTGATCTCCCCAAAACTTTCTAGAATATTCTTATATAAAAATACATGGGATGGGAACTCGGGCTATAGAAATGATTTTTAATCCATTTTGAATACTTAAAGTTTTAAAAAATAGAATAAAATCTCGCAGACAAAAGAATTGCACACTAAGTGAACGCCAAATAAAAAAGTGCATACTAGTGTGCAATATTATTAGTACTTTAAAAATTTACATTTGTTTTTTGAGAAATCGGAGGTAGCGTAAATTACTACTTCCGGTCATCGGAAATTACTCAAAATTTAACAGAAGGTAGAGAATTAGATCTTTTACTCACATGTGAAACTTCATTTATCTATCTGAAATAGTACTCGTTATAGGCTTTTGAAAAATTCAAAGTAGAAAAAGTACCACTTCCGGTTATTGGAAATCGCTCAAAAGTTGATACGGATTTACGATTTTGATAAAATACTTATATATGAAATTTCATCAACCTAGCTGTAACGGTAGGCCTACTCAAGTAATCGTGTTTACACACAGACACACAGACAGACACACAGACACACAGACATACGGACAGAATTGCAAAGCCAAGTTTTTTAGACTGGATTACGCATAAAACCTTTTAATTTTGATAAATCTGGATTGATAATTTTTGTTCGATTAAAATAAGTCCTCTATACTTCGGATGTGAAGAAGGACTGAGGTGTAATACGGTGAAAATTGTTCAAATTTCAAGTGATTTTTGTGCACGATTACAATACTTTCTCTATACTTCGTATATACGAGAAAGTAAAAATTGAAGTTCAATATTACAACAAAAATGAAAAGGAAAGAAAAAAGCATAAGCAAAAAAACAGTTACAAAGAAACACAATTAAAAATTTAATACAATGACACCAAAACCAATGAGCCGAGTGTAGAAAAACGAGGATAAAAAATATGTTTTAAATGGAACTATTTTAGAAATGGCATTTTTTTACTTGATATTTCTTTATTTCCAACTTGCTTTATAATTAAGTGAAATGAAACAAATTATAATCTCAAAATGTTTTTCCCCTCTCTTAAATGTGTTGAGTTATTAAAGTCTGTATGTTGTTTTTTTTTGTATTCCCAATTTTAATATTTCTAAATATATTTGTTTGAACAATTTCGCCTTGAAACACAATGCCTTTGTTCGGGCAGTTAAAATTCCACTTAAAAGACCCTTGCCTGAACACCGTGTGGCCGAAAGACACTTGCCCACATGCCGTCTGCAAGAAAGACACTTGCCCAAATGCCGTTTGCAAGAAAAGACACTTGCCCTAACTGATGTGTAGTTGACGGGGTCGTTTTTACCACATGCCGTTTTATCACATGCCGTTTTGTCACAGGTCGTTTTGTCACAGGTCGTTTTGTCACAGGTCGTTTTGTCAAAGGCCGTTTTGTCACAACACAAAGTAGCCACCGTGTTTTTGTAGTTTGCTTTCCTGTGTTAGAATAAATGGAAACTAGAAATATGATTGCTAGTTCCAAAGGTCAAAGCACCGCTATGGTCAAAGGCCCGCTGTGGTCAAACCCCCTATGGTCAAAGCCCCTATGGTCAAAGCTCCGCTGTGGTCAAACCCCCTATGGTCAAACCCCCTATGGTCAAAGCACCTGTGGTCAAAGGTCCGCGCACCAGGATTTAAACAAGACCTACGTGTATAAACTGGACTGTCATCTCCAGATTAGATCCGCGGGGGCCCTATATAGTTTTTCAATCACCTGATGATGATATTCATCTAAACATGTCTAAAGAAAATCACCGTAATGTTGATCTACATATTGTTTTTGCAACAGCATGTGTTTTTATTGACAATTTCATGCTTTCTTCATAAAAATAAATAAATAAATAATAAATATAAATTTAAAAATCTTGACCTTACGCCTCTAAGATGGCCTTCTTCATATCTGTGGTAAACTTCAAGATAAAAACATCATGCATTAATTGTGTTTTGCTGACCTCGAATTATCGTCCATGAATTGTCTTGATGGACATTTGCTGTCAAAGAAATGGTTTGTCCAGATAATGAAATAAAGGAGGAAGGGGCGACACCAAGACTAGAGAGGGAAATAATTGGAGGGGTGGGGTGACACCTACAGTAAGTTATCGCACCGGATGAGACCCATAATAGTGACGCCACTGGCTGTTTGTGAATACTTTAGCCGACATAAATGGAGATCAGTGGTTCTTAGCCTGGGTTCGATCGAGCCCCAGGGGATCGGCAAGTCAGTTTCAGGGGTGAGGTGAGGTCAAGATACACACCCAACTCAAATTATTGAGGATCGGATTTTGTCAGTGCGGACGATAAAATTATCAAGAAGGGTTCGGTGAATGCGCATGTGTGAAACTGGTGGGATGCGGTGCCTTCGAAAAGGTTGAGAACCACTGATCGAGATGTAAGGAGGTTAAAAAGATAATAAAATCAGGTTTTAAAGTCAAAGATGGTAATTTAACTTAAGCGTTCCGCGTCAGTTGGTCTGGGGTTGACAGGGAACTGGGTCAACGATTTAATATTTCAATGAAGATTATGTTGCAATTATAATTGGTTGTGAATTATTGTTGTTTCGTTAATAGAATTGATGGTGGAGATGGAGGAAAAGGGAGGGGGGGGGACTACGTCAGGGATGAGAGTTTTCTAGGTTAAGGTCGAAAATCCGCCTTAACCCTAGGCCAAGAGAAGATAATTATGTTTTTGTGTTTCGGTTATCTATTTGTCCAACTTTTTCTAAAATAACAAACGTGCATGCGTCATTCTAGAGCTCCGCGCCGTCAAGTAAAAGTTTATGGCAAGATGAAAAGGTGCAGGTTCAATTACCTCCTGCGTCATACCCATTAGCCAAGTTTTTGATTAGTTGTGCGGACTCAAAATTAGCGTGTCAATAATCCGGATGCTACAGTTCCTTGATAAAACTCTTACAGCGATACATTTATTTTTAACTGAGAAATGTGTTTACCTAAAAGTTATAACAACAGACTGAACAAAAAAAAAAAAGAAATAATTATATCTCTGAATAATAAGTTACAGTTGCATAAACTTGATTATGCCACAAGGGGAGGAGGCGGGGTGGAACAAAGCCGATGTCCCAGAAATAGGTGAACTCATCTTTATTGTTGCCTCTGCTGTACTTTAAAACCGTTTTTTTTCCCACGTTTTCTTTAACTTGCTTTCTCTGTGTCTTTCTGTGTTTGTTTGTCTTTCCAATCAAATCTTGCGATCGAAATTTCTGGCACTTCCCAGTTAGCTAGCGCGCTGAAATTTTCAGGGAAGCTTTCTTTTGGATGACCATAGAATATGCAATTGTTATTATTACTAAATTGATCAATGGAAACATTTTATTGAGCATTTTAGACCGCTATATAATCTATATATATAATTCTCCTCTGCGAGCCATTAGAAAAAAAAACCAGCGACGCGTACCTCGCGCGCAGTGAAGCGAACGATCCCACGTTGCCACAGGCTTAGGGGCAAATAATTTACTTTGAACCGAGTTTAAACTTACAGGATGTAGGCCAGTTTGGGGGAGACGATATGGTCGAGTGGTTGGGCACACGATTGCTATCCCACTCGACACGGGTTCAAATCTATGTGTTCTAGTCAGTAACGTATTCACACAACGATTTTTTTTCGAGTTGTCTTTTTACGAGTTGTCTTTTTACGAGTTGTCTTCGTTTACCCAAAAAAAAGTGAAAAGATAAAATCGATAGCAAGATTTTAATGCAAACAGACAAAGACTAAAAAGTAGAAAATAATAATCATTAAAAAAGTTTTAAAAAACCCACGTTTTCTGATTGAACTAAAAAGTAGAAAATAAATACTATACATCACAATAATGCAAGCGATCACTCTACTATAAGCGATCAAAAACGTGGGGCGCCGTGATTTTCTTACAGTTTCTAATACTGTTGACTCTCTACAAGCTCCCTAATAAAAGTCAATAGTATTATCTAATCAATAGTAATATAACTTTTACTTCGGCGCCCCACGTTTTTGATCGCTTATAGTAGAGTGATCGCTTGCATTATTGTGATGTATAGTATTTATTTTCTACTTTTTAGTTCAATCAGAAAACGTGGGTTTTTTAAAACTTTTTTAATGATTATTATTTTAAATTTATTTATTTGAAATTTAAGAAAACAAAAAACCACGAAAACACCGCTAACCACAAACTACAACACTTTACACACCATCTCGCTAACAACTCTCCTCTATACAGCATGAAGAATGCATTACAACCAACACTTCACAACCCAAATCTGGCTATCCCACACTGAACAACCCACACCTCACCACACTAATCACACGATCACACATCACACGTACCACCGCCAAAATACCACACACTGAGTTACTACACACACCACACGAAGTAAACCAAACCCACGCCCTACAACACTAAAACACTACACCACTCCACACCTACCCCACATTGCACACGAACCACACTACTATTAAATTCTCACCATTTCATTAATACATTTTTTTTTAAATTAAAATATTTTCTTTATGACCCACAATTTTATTTAACCATTGCATTTGAACGAAAAGCAAAATCGGCAGGAATTTTTTAAAAACGACAAAAAAGAAGAAAAAAAAACACAGCAGTTATTACGTAATGATCTATAGTAAAAAAAAACACAAATATTACCACACAACTCTGTACCGACAAATAGTAAAATAATAAACAGTTTTGATCTAACAATACTAATGTATTCTTCTTGTAATGGTGAAAAGATGGGCTGCTCGTAGTGCTGTT